AGTCTGTCAGGTTCAAAGTGCAGCCCAGACGTGCAGTCCTGATACGCTCCTGCTGAAACCAACACCTCCTTTTTCTCCTTTGGTGGTGAGTGATGGTGAAACATCAGCAGGCTGCCTGTGATGCCTCCACGTGCTCAGCCGCTTCATCGCTTTACCTCACGCTGTAAAAAACGTTATCAGCACTGACCAGCAGCGCTGACGTGATTCCACTTAAAGTGAGGCAGAGATTTTCCAATAAAAAAACGTCTAACATTCAATAACTGGACCTCTGAAAGTTTATCCTCATCCCACATCTAATAGAATAGAATAGAACAGCGCTTTATTGTCATTGTACACAAAGAGAAAAGGTGACAGAGGTTTTAGTAGTTTTGCACGCACCAGGAATCTGCAGGGTCACTGCTGTAAGAGAAACACTCCTATTGGCTGTTAAAGATGATCACATGATCTAACGTTACATTTTGCCGGGAAGCTGGGAAATGAAAATATTCCCGATCAGCTTGATTAGTTTTTTCTTCCCCTCAGAGTTACAGGAGGCACGTGAAGCAGATCATTGTTACATTTACTGATGAAAGCTGAGTGTAATGTTGATGTTGACGTGCACTTCCTGTTGTGTCCTACAGGCGGTGCAACAAGACGAAGCGTGGTCGGAGGCAGAAGCAGCATCTCGGGCACTTCCCGTCAGGAACGTCGTCCCGGATGATGTAGCTGCTCTTTCTTTTTTCAATGATTTTTTTAATTTTCCATCTTGTTTTTTATAAAATTCGACCTTTCGTACCACAGACTGCATTTTTGATATCTCGACTTTTTGGTGCCTCTTCTTATTTTCCCTCGTTTTTTGGAATAACCCGACATTACTGAGGGGCCTTATTTTCCACCTTTCATTCCTTTGGCTTCCCGTCTGCAGGTGGTTTTCAGTTTGTGGAGACGTGGCCGTGCTGCTGGCGTCCTCTCAGACTCTGAAACACTGTGGAAACTTTATTTCTCTGATTGTCTCGTCGCTCCGGACGTCCACACCGCAAACAGTGACGATTGTCTCAGTTTTCGCCCGGTGAGACGCACAGCAGGAGCGCCTCCTTTTTAGTTTTTCGGC